GAGAGAGAGAGAGAGAGCGCGAGAGAGAGAGAGCGCGCGAGAGAGAGAGAGAGAGAGAGAGTCTAAGAACTACAGATTATTTGCTATTATATTTATAAATATCTTAAATACACAATTAATATATAGATTATAAAACACTCGACACATTGTTATTATTAACTAGACATTAAACATACCGCTAATGTGTTAAAAAAAATTCCGATACCCCGATTAATTTTAATGATTACATGTAATAATGTGGTAAACTTTAAGTTGATTGCTATTTTGTATTGTTATATATTAATAAATATTATTTATTGTGTTTTCAAATTGAAAATATTATTGTATAATATATTTGTAATTTTGTGACTTAAAGTTTGCTTTACTTATAATATAAATATATTTTATTTGAATAGATTTAAGTTTTCAAACTTTTTATATTAATTATAATCTTATCCTAATAACCTTGGTCATAGTTGCAACATTAATAATAATAATCAATTATAGATTAATGAAATGCTTATGTATTTTTGTAATGTATGCATAATTTAATCAACAAAATACAAATGTATTTATGAATGCTTATAATTTTGCTTAATTTTAATCTTATCAATATATGTGTAAAACATTTATTTAATAATGTTATTGATATTAAATAGCAATCAATAAATTGAAGGTATTTTGGCAAATATTATTGAAAATAATTATTTATAATCTAAAGTAAGTTTTATTTAAAATAATAATGATTTTATAACTATGTATGTTTTTGATACAAACATTATGAACCAATATTTATGATTTTATTTATATGTATTTTTATAGATATTTGCATTAATGCATATAAATATAATAATTTATATTTAGCAAATTTACTAGAACAAAATTGGTTTAATAAATTAAATTAATAATCTGGTCTAACATTAAAATTAATACAATAATCTACATAACTAAGTCATTATATTTAAATATTTAACCCTGCGCATGTAAACTAACCACATTGTAAAAATATTGCATGAATGTCCCAATAATAGTAAAATTTAAATAGTTGTAAATTGTTAACTATTAATGAATAAAATTAATTCTTACTATAATTAAATTACTAATTTAACTATTATTAGGCTAGTATACGTGTAACGTAACTTTATTACTCTTTGAATTTATAATATTTAATATGAAAGTAATAAAATAATTTACAACTAATGTAATCAATAAATGTTTTAATTATAATGTAGAGAATAATATTCGTTCGAAATTTTCTTATTTAATATAAATGCATAATAAATAATAATACGATATAATATTTTATTCATATGTAGAATTTGAATATAATATTAATCAGCAATATCCATTAATGATTTAATTATTATTTTTTAAGTATAATATACTATATTTATATTAAACATTATATTATTTTATATATACAGGGTGTCTAGAATTTTACAATAACAAGAAAATGTTAAGAAATTGTTACATGATTTTATAAAAAACAAATTAATTGTTGAATTGTAGATAATAATTAGTTAATTTTAATATAAATATTCTGATAATTATATATGTTGATAATTTAATTCAGCGACTTAAATCCTAAAGTCACAGCAAGTTAATACAAAATAATATTATTCTGAGAGAGAGAGATTAATCATAAATAATATTTTTATTTTACTTTTATTATTTAATGTTTGTTTACCTGATATGTTGTGTTATTAATGTCAAAACAGATGATAAGATTTTAACATAATTACAGTTTTAAAACGTTTATAAATAAAACACTGATAATAAGTATTGGAAATTATTAGTGATTTAAAACATTTACATTAATTATTTAAAGTATAAACATTATTATAACAACACTTGTAAATTAAAAAATTAAAAAACATCATGGCTGTTGAACACATATCTGATATAATAGGGTCATTTGGCAAATTTCAGCTAAACATCGCGCTGTTTTATTTTACAATTTATATATTATCACCATTTAATAACTTCGGGATCAGTTTTCACGCGCCACAATTGAATTATTGGTGTTACCATGATAATAATACTGACATTAATAACACAACATATCAGGTAAACAAACATTAAACATTTATTATATAAGTAATGTAAAAATATTTATTATTATTATTATTTTGTCAACAGCTGGACAATTATAATCGTGGTACAAATAACAGCGATGTTTGCGATACAAACTGTAGTCAATGGAAATTTGACCAAACATTTGGCAATACAATTATTGAAGAGGTAAATTATCTATTAATTTTACTAACACACAATTAAGGCAACCGCGGGGATGCTTTTTGGATGCTTTTTTCATAGTTTTGAACACAATAATGACTATTACAACTATTTGTTCATTTTAAAGCATTAGTTAAATACTAAATGTTATAATTTTTTTTACTAATTCATAGTTTTTATTTAGTCTGCATATTAAATGACTCATATTGTGGTTGCCCTACACACAATCAATATAAACACTTTACATTAATTTGACTTTATTTTAAACATTTTATGTTTATCAAGTTTGAGCTAGTTTGCGACAAAGCATGGCTGCCATCGCTATCGCAATCCATCTACCAATCGGGTTACGCCGTCAACGGCCTAATACTAGGCTATCTGTCCGATCGGTACGGACGCCGACCTGTGCTCTGGTTGGCTGTAATACTGGAGATATGCGGCGGTCTATCAGTCATACTATCAAACTCTATGACACAGTATATCGTAAGCAGATTTTTTCTCGGTTTGGGCGATAGTGGGCGCGGGGTTTGCCTGTATTTGTTAGTGTTTGAAACGGTAAGTGAATTAAAAATATATTAAAACAAATTAGGTAGTTACAATAATTTTATTAATTAATCTAGTTTGGTTCAAAGCACAGGGCCAATGTGATACTATTAATTAGTTTTGGTTCAATACTAGGCTTTATAACACTGCCCGGTGCCGCGTATTTGACACATAATTACCGGTACCTGCAGTTAATACCAACACTAGTGGCTCTAGTTTTGCTTATTTCGTGGTTGTGGTCAATTCCGGAATCACCCAGATGGTTATTGTGTAAAGGTGATTTAAATACAACAAAACAAAGTTTAATGAAATGTGCAAAAATAAATGGCCAAGATGTAACTAATTTTGAGCAACAATTTGGCGAGCTTGAAAAGCACATTAAAATGGTAAATTTCAATAAATTAGTTAATTTAATTAATTGTAAGTTATAAAGTCAAATAATCTATTCCAATTTAAACTAATATATTGAAAAATATATTATTAAGTTTTATCTTATTGCCAATATAATTATAAAGAGTAAACTATATATTCAAATATAATTGCAGTCAAATATTTTATTACAGTTTATAAAATAATTATAATTAATAAATCAACATTGTAAAGAAATGATTATAATTATTTATTATTAGATAAACCAAATACATATCATGATAGTTTATGAATTGTATAATATTCTAATGATTTTACTTTAATTTGTTTACACCAGACACAAAATAAACAAAGCCTAGTCAAACATCAAACAATCTTGGATCTATTATCAACCAAGATTATGAGAAAATACACGCTAATATTTTGGTTCTCATTTGCTGTTAACGCGTTCATCTATCACGGAATCTCCCTGAATGTGCAGCAAATCGGGGGCAATCTGTATGTCAACTTTGCCATAGCTGGCCTAGTTGAAATACCATCCATACTATTAAACCTGGTAGGCTTGAGATACGTGGGCCGCAAATGGTTTACCGTGTGGACAATGTTGGCCGCATCCCTGTCCTATCTGGCCATTGTATTGGTGGGCGCGTACACTACTAGCGATAACCCTAAATACGAGATGGTAAAATTGGTGTTGGCAATGGTGGGCAAGCTGTTTATTTTCAGCTCGTTTAACGTGATTTACATACATTCGGGTGAAATATTTCCCACCGTTTTGAGACACACGGGTATTGGCAGCTGTACTATAGCCGCTAGGATTGGCTCAATACTGGCGCCATTTGTTAAGGAAATGGTATTAATTAATGTTGCAAATAATGAGAAGCCTATTGTAGTAATGGGAGACCTTTATTAAAAATGCTAAATTTGTTATATTTGATTCACATAGAGTGAATATTACAATTTTACCATATCGATGTTGGTGTTTGGTTTGCTGGCGTTTATGGCAACGCTGTTCACCCTATTTCTTCCCGAGACAAAGGACAAGGATATACCGGACAGTGTGCGCGATGTCAACCGTATTGATATATCTAAATCTAATACAGAACAGTCAACTTTATTGGACAAATAAAATAAAATATATACTTGTTGTTATAAATATATTTTTTAGTATAATCTTTAAGTTAAATGTATTAAATTTGTAATTTCCAAAATTAATATAATTATTTTTAATAAATATTAATTATTTTAAAACATTTATTTGTATTTTTGTTTAATTTATCTTACTTTTAATCTTAAATAAATTAATTATAATAAATGTTCAATTGTAAAAATATTGATGAATAAACTTTAATTGTAAATTACATTAAATGCACAAATGCAAAATTATAATTAATTTTGTTTTCAATTATAATTATGGAACTAATAAATAATTAAACTGCAAGTTTAGTATATTTTGGTATAAAAACAATATTCATGTATGAATGAATAAAAATAGATTAATAAAAACAGTGTATTTATTCATGTTATACATATTAAAATAATTAAATTGTGATTACAAATATTTGATGTAACGTTGAATATTATAATAAAATATAATATTTATAACTGCTCTATGCCTTATACAAATAAATAATATTATTATGAAAATGAAATAAATAAGTAAATTAATAAATAATATTTGATTTGCAAATGTGTTTGTTAAAAAAATTAGAGAAAACTTCATATTGTAGTCAATTATCAGTAATATCAGCTTTTGGTAAGATAAAATTTACAAATCACATAATTATTTTATAAATATACTATATTTCAATAATTATTAGATTGTATTATTATTATATTAGTAGCATTATCATGGTGCACATTTCTCAGATTTACAAAATAACATCATACGTGATATGTTTGATGGGATGTGTGTATCAAACGTATAAAAT